TGAGAAAATGCAACTCAACAGAATCTCCTGAGCTGGACAAGGATCATCCTTCCACCCTGTGCCTGAGAACATTGGTCAAACACTCCTGGAGCTCTGTCAGGTTTGGGACTGTGACCACTGCCCTAGGGAGCTGTTCAGTGCCCAAACACCTCTGGGGGAAGAACCTTGTCCTAATATCCAACCTAAACCTCCCCTGACACAACTTCAGGCCATTCCCTCAGGGGCTGTCTCTGATCACAGAGTGCAGAGGTCAGTGCTGCCCCTGCACTTCCTTCCATGAGGGAGTTGTACACATATATGAGGTCTCCCCTCAGTCTTCTCCAGCTGAATAGTCCAAGTGACCTCAACCTCTCCTGATATTGCTTCTCCTCAAGACCCTTCCCCATCTTCATTGCCCTCCTTTGTCCTCAGCCACTCCACCAGGGCTACTTCCATTCCTTCTCCAGGCAGAAGGAAGACCTGTCATGGTTTTGGGGAAATCTCCAGCTGTGGAGGCTACAAGAAGGCACAAGAGCACTGTGTACTTGAGCATCTTCCTGTGCAGCTGAGCTGGAACCCGAGGGAGACTCGTGGAACCATAGCTGAGCCCAGGGCACAGAGGAGCTCTGCTGCCACAGCAGAACAGTGGCTGCACTGCTCCTGTGGGCTGCTTTCGTCATCAGCCACAAGCTCAGGTGGCTCAGGGGTTATCTGCACCTTGCTCAGTGCCGTGGAAACGTGGAGGTGACTGTGCTGCCTCTGAGGCACAGCCTACGGCCGCGATACTCATCACTTTCTGAGAACTGTGCTCGCGGTGTTCTCTGGAATCCACTCACACTCACTCACCCTTTGTACTTTGGCATCCACTTCTCTGCAAGATGACAGCTCTTAGGCCACAGAGCTCTGCTCAAAGGCCTCTACATTCCTAGCAAGGTTCTTTGGAAGGGGCTTGAGCTTATCAGTTGGAACATGCCATCAGGTCTCTGGTCAGAACTGCTGCCAGGTCATGTTTACAGATAAAACACTACACATAGTGTTGTCCAAGCTGTACAGAAAGCCAGGAGCAAGGCAGAGTGAACAAGTCATGATCATGGAATATCCTCAGCTGGAAGGGACCCCCAAGGATCAGAGTCCAACTCCTGCACAGGACACCCCAACAATGCACCCCGTGCCTGAGAACATTGGCCAAACACTCCTGGAGCTCTGTCAGCCTTGGGGCTGTGACCACTGCCCTGGGGAGCTGTTCAGTGCCCAAACACCTCTGGGGGAAGAACCTTGGCCTAATATCCAACCTAAACCTGTTCCAGTGCTCAAACACCTCTGAGAGAAGAACCTTTGCCTAATATCCAATCTAAACCTGTTCCAGTGCCCAACCAACCCCTGGGAGAAGAACCTTGGCCTAATATCCATCCCAAACCTCCCCTGACACAGCTCCATGCCATTGCTTGGGGTGCTGTCACTGGTCACAGAGATCAGTGCTGCCCCTTTGGTTCTCCTTAGGAGGAAGGTGCAAACAGCTGATGCCTCCCCTCAGCCTCCTCTTCCTCAGGCTGATTGAAAGCACAGTGAAGAACAACTCCTTGCACCTTTGCCCTCTCAATCATGCACCTGATACATGTGCCCCGAGCTGCCACCAGAGTTTTATTTCCAGAAGTCACTCTCACACTTTGTATACGATACAAATGCTCCTATACACTGTATATGCACTTGGAAGCAGGAGATCCTTGCTGAGTACACCATATGTATAACATATAACAAAACATATGTTTCAAAACATGGTTTTTAGACACCACTTGTATTCTAGAATACATTTTCTGCTGCATATGTTGGCATATGCCTTGGTACTGTGTACCTCAAGTACCATTTTTAATGAGTTATCTACAGAGGAGATACATTTGAAGTGAAAAACCACTTCTGAATGATCCAACTTTTAAGTTTTCTTCTTGAATCTTTACACAGAGGCATCAAAAGCTAGTCACAAGGACACTTCAGGCTCCTGCCAGACACTCTGACTTGCCAGCTAAACTTGGAATGCTTTCCAAAAGTCCAGGCTGATTTGAGTTGAGTTACAGTAGGCAAATTCATCTTGGACAGTGTAGAGGTGTTTTAACTGCACAGCTCAACACTTCTCCAGTTCTGAATGCAGGTTCCCCTGAGAACAGACACAGGGAATCATCCAGGATTAGGTCAGAGCAGAGTTTAGGCAGCACAGTCTGCTCAGATTCAATCCTAGGAAGCCCAAATAGTCAGCACTGGGTTAATAATTCAGCTCTTGCCTCTTACCATGGAGCACCTAAGGACAACTCTTCTTCAAATCACATGTTTTTCTGTCTGCTACAGTTTCCAACACTTTCTTCCATCTAAAGACACTGCCTAAAAATGCCCAAAGAACTATCAACTCATCCTGGCAACAGAGATGCTGAGCCCAGGAGCTACCTAAGACAAAGAATTCCACTCAATTCCACCAGGAACAGTGGGTCCTAAAGGCAAAGGGGGCACTGAGGAGACCCAAAGGAATCCAGTTCCACACAGCCACTCAGCATCCAGAGAACTTTGTCACATCACTTGGTGCAATCCATGGGCTCAGTAAATGATGTGGAGTCAGTTTTTGATGAGACTGGAATTGGAGTCAATGTGTTCTTCCTGGATGGGAACTCGACAGGTCCTTTCTTCTGAAAGATAGATGATAAAATACAGATAAATATAGGACAGAGCAGAAGGGGCAGGAAAAGGGAAGACAGAGACTCTTCTGGGTTTGTGGATGACCTGTGAGTGACATTTGGGTTGGTGTTTGTCCTGTGCTAGGAAGCACCAAGTGTAAGGATCAGTGAGAAACACTTTGCCATGGCTCTGGAAGTGGAACATGAGGTAGCTGTGGGCTCAGTCAGGAGCTGAGCTGCCACTTAACCCTGAACATATTGTTCAGCTCTCCTCAATCAAACCTCTCCTGTGTTTGCAGGAGACACTTCAGGACAGGTCACTTCTACACAGGCCAAAACTTCACAATATACTCTTGAAAGGTGTTTTTGGCTTCTGTCTGTACTGAGAGAATTTCCTGCATAGAATCATTCCAGCATTGCTGAAGGGATTGAGGAGGGGGAAAGTGAGGAGTGAAAATCAGAGAGATAATCCTTCTGGGGAATCTAAAAGAAGGTAAATTGAGACACTAAGATCTCCAGTGCATCAGGACTAATAGGGTACAAAGCATTGGTACCACCTGCAGATGACACTGTTCTCCCTAAGCTGACAGATCTCGTTATGATTAATTAACAGTGTTCAAACAGGGGCCCTGATTATTCTTCCTGTCTATTTTCCCCATGGAAAGAAACTCACTCTGCTGGTTGCCTCGACAAGGTCTCCTCTTGGTGTCTTTCCTGGCTGCCTGGATGATCAGCAGGAGGATGGACATGCCACTCACCATAAGTAAGATCAGGCAAATAAAGAGAAGTGACAGAGACCCTGGAAGAAATACAGAAGAAGAACACACTAAAAGAGATTGATAGGTCTAGCTGGCGTCCCCTTCAAAAGAAGGAACCCAGAACTCCAGAAGTCCTCCTGAATCACAAAGACTAACAGCCCAAGCAGCTGGAAATCTGGAATCCTGTGTGTGCCTCACTGAAATGCTGTGGGAATACCAACAGATAGAGCATGAAATCAATTCCAGGGGAAAATTCCTGAGCAGCTCTAAGAAATAGAAAGACTAGACTTGGTTATTCCCTGTCCTTACCCCAGTTAGTGCCTGTGGGGCTGTTGGTGTCCGGGCAAATGGAAGGAACCTCACCAGGTGTGGATGGAGATACCACTGCAGTTGACCTGTTATTCTTGTGCTTGGTGCTGGAGATATTCAGGGCAGGTGTTGCACTCTCAGGCGCAGGAGCTTGTGTGATGTGGTTGTTGCAAACTGCATCCTCTGTTTTTGTCCCTGCTTGAAGGGTATTTTTCCCAAGGCTGCTGCAGCTGGTGAAAAACAATGGAAAATGAATTCATGTGGTTTTGCAAGCCACAATGACTTTGTCAGTGATATCTATGCAACAAGGGAGTGAACATTACAGTTCTTGTTTTATACATACAAGGATTTACCTTCCCTAGATTCCATAGATAGGTGGAGAATAGTAACCTAACTGAAGTTAGCAGTGGGGGGGAAATGATATTCTATTGTGTGTGTATATATGATATGATATGATATGGTATGTGCTGAAAATATAACTCACAAAGTGGCTCTGAACATGTGTTGCTCAGTGATACATACTTGGTCCAAGGCTGACAGTTTTCATTTCTTCCTCTGGAGAAAGTCCCTTCAGGACAGGGGGAGCAGACTGGGAAAAAGGGATGAAAAGAGGCAGGAATTGAGTAATATAGTATACATATTATTCTATATCCTAGTTATACAGTGTGTATATAGAACCATTATATAGAGAGTATACTAGTCTGACTTACAGAACAGCCCAAACAAAATCCACAGAGCCTCTAACAACCAGAGTCAGTGGGTCAGAAGAAGCACAGCACTCCCAGTGGTTTGTTTGCCTGTAACTGGCAGGGATTGCTGCATTCCATAGTGGCTAATTAGGGATGTTATCAAGGATAACGTTCAGGTTTCTGCCAGGAGTCACAGAGCAGCACTTTGCACAACTCTCCTGCTATAACACTCACGTGGAGATCATAGAATCAACCAGGTTGGACCTACAAGGTCATCAAGTCCAACCCTACCATGGTTACTAGACCATGGCACTAAGTGCCACATCCAGTCTCAGCTTGAAATGAAAAAGGGATGGTGAATCCACCACCTCCCTGGGCAGCACATTCCAATGCCTGAGCACTCTCTCTGTAAAAAATCTGTTCCTAATATCCAAGCTAACCCTCCCCTGGCAGAGCTTGAGTCTGTGCCCTCTTGTCCTGCTGCTGGTTGCCTGGGAGAAGAGACCAACCCCCACCTGACTCCAACCTCCTGTCAGGGAGTTGCAGAGGGTGAGAAGGTCTCCCCTGAGCCTCCTCTTCTCCAGGCTGAACACCCCCAGCTCCCTCAGCCTCTCCTCTTGAGATATATCTCAGTGAGTCAACGATTACACTAGGAATAACCACCTCACCCGAGGTGGAGGTAGGAGTTTGGAGAGTGACACCTCCCTAACTTACCACTTCCCAGGGGCATCCCAGCTGGCATGAACCCTGCACGGCACATGCACACTCTGTTCGAGGTCCTCTCACACTTCTTCACCTCCACACTGCCCTTCCCTAGCAACAAAGGGTGAGGGAAAGACAAGAAATATATTAAAGACCAGAAAGGAGTGAAACAAACATACAAAAACAATTCAAAATTAATAATGGCAAAATATAACTGCTCCTATTGACTGCTTCAATTCCATAAAGTGAAATTTGGTAAATGGTGGTCTGTGGTGATATTGGAGGGTTTTTTTGCTTTGGGGTGATGTTGGGAGGGTTATTTGTGCAGAGCACAGAGTTAGTTAACAACTCTGTAGACAGGAAAGCCACCAGCAGCACCAACAAGGAGGGACCAGCGATGGAAATAATTCCATCTCTCCACTGATAAGAGCTCACAAAGGTCAGAAAGCTCACAAAGGCTGAGTGTGCCAGGAAATGGGCACTGCAGGTGACTTACTGGTGTTGCAGACTGTACAGCTGTTGCAGAAGCCATGGTGATGCTCTGTGCTGAAATACTCATCCTGGCAGGGGACACAGACTGTGTCTGCTGTGGCAGTGCAACGGTTCTTCATCCTCTCACCTAAAGCAGACACCATGTAGAAGGAGGAACTGATTGCTATCAGCAG